CCCCAAAACCCCAAAACCCCAAAACCCCAATTTCTAATTAAAAATAACATTAAAAATGAAGGATTTTATTTCTGTAAGACTTGTCCTTCCGATGTGGAATAGTGCTAACGCTCGAGAATATAGATAACTCTGACTAAGCCAGGCGCTATCTCTATCGAAGGACTCCTAAAGGTAAATTTATCACAATTTTGGGGATTAATGAGGGCTTTAAACTGATTTTATTAAATAAAATAGCCCCAGAATGATACAAGACAAGTAATTGAGTCCCCTCTAAGTGAAATTTTGAATGGTATGTGCCTCTTTTGATTCTTTCCATAGCAAAAAGTCTCCATTTTCCAAAGAAATTAGAGCTAAAATAAAGAATTAAGTACCAAACCCGATGATAGGAGTCGAAACAATCTTTCATCAAGGTAAGTTATAACAGAGTTATACTTAGAAATATTATGAAGTTATCGCCTAAGAGCAACAGTATCAGCCCAATGAGGTCTTACGACTACTTGGCGAAATCAAAGGGTATCCAAAATATTTCATATTTAGTGAACTTACTGAGAAAGTTTTGGCCGCAGAGACCCTTCAGGGATAAAAGCTTAGCTCAGATTCTTAAGAGTTCCAAGCGATACTGCAACTACTCGAGTAATAAGTTACACAGTGTTGCTTCCTTAAGAAACAACAGCATTACTGTGTCCATTGATGGTATTCCAGTGACTACTCTTTAGAGGCTGAATTTAAGAAACCAGAGAAGCATTCTGCCATCAGCAGAATTGTACATTGCATTTTAACCGTTTTAGATTTACAGAAATAAAAGATATATCACTCAAAACCAGGTTAGCACCAGGGAAGCACCCAGAGAAGAACAAGTAGAGAGCCTCAGAGCTAATGGAAAGGGCAAAAAGGTATATCCTGACTAACTCCATTCTTTGGGCTTTGATTTGCAGAGGCTGGGGAATGATTTGATCTAGTCTCAAACTACAAAGCCTGAAATGCATTTCTAAATTTCTTTAGATGTTTCGTAAATTATTGTACGAGATGAGTGAGTTTTTACCAAGAATCAAGAAAACTTTTAAGAAAGGTACGCTAATTTCCACCCAAATTCTACAATTCTCACAAATTCACTTTGATGACTAAAGAACTCTCTGTGAAAATAGGCTCAAACTTTGGGTTTAGAGGTGACTCTTCATACGAGCAGGTTTGAAGCAAGGAACAAGGAACTGGCTAAGAAGGTCTAGCTAAGATTCTCATGAAGGTAAAGGAAACAAGCGCTCAACTACCATCCTTCTGCTCCATTTTGAAGGAATTTCTGAGATTATTATATCTTAATGCTGGTTTAGAGAGGGAAAATTATAGTCAAAGAAGCAAAGAAAGCATCTATAAAGCGCAAGGCAGCCAAGATCAAGCTTAAAATTGATAAAAAGTTGTTATAAGATACTCAATATTCAACCCTTGTAGCTAATATTGGGGTTTTGGGGTTTTGGGGTTTTGGGGTTTTGGGG